TTTGTATTTTATTAGGCAATACTTAATGTAGTTCATGTAATATTTTCTGTTATATTTCAAGTCGTCAGTTATGTAAAAGTCTACGACTAAATTATAATATATATTTTAACAGAAAATTCTTGTGCGAGTATCCTTCTTATAGCGGCTTCCCACGGTCGGCGATATTGCGGACGTAAGCGGACCAGCCCGCACCACGCACCGTGGGAAAGGTCTCGTCCGTGGTAGCACAGGCACGTCCGTTCTGGTGGGTCCTATCCATCTAGAGTCGGTAACATCAAAGGTGCGGTATATGCTCGTGCTCGCGATCCTAGCGCGTCTTTGTTTTAACAGACGTTAAGTGCAAGTCAGAAGTTTTTCATTCGCTGACACGAGTAGTTGTCTGTAGTGTTGTCAAAGTTGTTTTGCAGTTTTTTTGCAGAAAAAAAAGAGAAATAATTTAATGCCGACATACAAAAGGCAAAAAACAAAAGTTGGAGAATCGATGGGAACTGGAAGTGGGGCTGATGATGTTTACAAGCCTGAGTGGCCTTTTTATGATATAATCAAACAACACTGTCACGGACCTACACAGACTGTCACGGACCGTAGGAAGAGCTCTGTCTGCGGTGCGTTGTCGTCCGTGCTGATCGGCTGTCCGCGATGATCTGTAGAATCGCCGATCTTGGGAAGCCACTATAAGAGTGCAGTCTCTCTACGGAAGTTGACAATCATAATGGCTATTTTTATTTTTGAACTTGATGCTCTATACTGTAACAAATTTCAATTGAAGGTGATTCATTGGTAACATCACACTTAAAGCGACCAACCGATATTCCCGTTATCAACTTTTCAGGGGCGTACCAAGGGGTTATTGGCAGGTATCTTATTACAGATGATACAAATGAGTCTTTTTCGGTAACAGTTACGATACGTTCCAGTTCCATGTTTGTACCTGTTCCAAATACTAGTTACTTTTTAACCTAGTATTTTTACATTTATATACCGCGCCACGTTTTTTTTTTTTCCAATTTTTTCTAATGTTTTACATAAATTTATATATTGTATTTTGTTAACTACTTGTGTATTATTTGTTCAAAACGATCTTATTGTTTTTTTTGTTTTAATTTTTGTGTTAGGTACACTTATCTAGTTTATTTTAATAAATAGTAAAAAAATTATATACTCTTTTATTTTAGTTTTATGGAAAATATGTATAAAATCAAACAAACAATACCAACAAAACCAAACTCAAACAAAATCAAATTAAAAAACTTCTAATGACAGATTTAATACGTTTAATTTCACATCTTGCATACACCACCGTAATAATCCCGATGTCCGAACCGCCAATCCTCAGTAACTACAGACTAGAACTATTACCTACTCAAAAAATTTAACTGATCCCCGTGCGTATCGGTATCCAAAATACCAATACCAAAATATCGATATCAAAGCGCAGCGCAGATATCGAATATTAACGTTATTGTGTTGTGTACAGTAACAGTACCAGTTACAGTTACCAGGCTTGATTCATTCCGTGTCCGTCGTGTCGTTGAAAAAATTTAAATGGAACTGAAACTAGTATTTTAGAAAACCGGTAACTGTTACGTTTCGTTATATGCTCATACCTATTACCAAATACTTGTTCCTAGTATTTCGTATCATCTCTATATCTTATAATTGTCTAACAAAATAAAGTAAAATTGTATTATTATTATTATAGAGTGTGTAATAGAGTACTTCAAAAACAGAAAACTTTGCAAAATAATCATTACATTCCATTTATATAGAAGGAGAACTACAAAGCAAAGAAATAATTACCTAAGTTATGCTTATAAAGTTTCTGAATCCAGTGACTCGTCCGAAGAGTTTACCCAATAACCCAATCGTTCCATTACGAGTTCTAACCAACGTTGGACACCAGAAATTTTATATGTCACGTTTTCACGGGCTACGTAACCCTTTACTTGAGCCCAGATTAATTCTATAGTGTTTAACTGAAAATGGCAAGGAGGAGGTCTTAAAATGGTGATGCCTTTAGCATGAGCCGTTTTTTTCTATGACATGCTGGCGTTATCTGTCACGATGCTGTCTAATGACACTTATAAGCTCAACCTTAACCATGTCCTCTTCTTCTTCTTCTTCTTTAGGTGCCCTGTCCGTTGCGAACGTTGGCTATTAACATGGCAATTCTGGATCTTGTTTGCGGAGCTTCTGAATAGTTCGACCGATGTGAGCCCGAGCCACTTCCGCAGATTTTGGAGCCACGAGTGTCTTCTTCTGCCTGGCCCTCGCTTACTGTCTATTTTTCCCTGGACAATCAATTGCAGCAGACGGTACTTATCGTGTCTCAATATGTGGCCTAGATATTCAAGCTTTCTTTGTTTAATTGTATTCACGATTTCTTTCTCCTTTCCGATTCTTTGGAGTACCTCTATGTTGGTGACATGTTCGGTCCAGGATATACGAAGAATGCGTCGGTACACCCACATTTCGAATGCTTCTAGTTTTCTCGTGAGCGCCTCCGTCAGCGTCCAGGCCTCCACACCATAAGTCAGTAAGATCTGAAAAATGTAGCATTTAACTAGACGTAATTTTAGAGGAAGAGACAAATCCTTGCTTATGAGGAACTTTTTCATGCTAAATGCTGCTCTAGCTCGTTCTATTCTCGCCTTAATTTCTGTGGCCTGTTCCCATTTTGCATTTACGTTGGTGCCAAGGTACACATAAGATTTTACATTGTCAATTAGTATGTTACTTATCCGTAATTGTCGAGCAGGTTGTTGCTTTTTGCTTATCACCATCCACTTTGTCTTCTTGAAGTTAAGGCTCAGGCCGTATTCCTCACTAACTGAATAAACTCTTTCCATTACCTGTTGTAATTCGTCTATGGTACTGGCAAGGATCACCGTGTCGTCGGCATATCTTATATTGTTCGTTAACTCGCCGTTTATTTTTATGCCCTCGTTTGCATTTTCCATACATTTGTTAAATATTTCCTCGGAATACATATTAAATAGGAGTGGGGATAATACACACTTCTGACGGACACCTCTTTTGATCTGCACACTTTCAGTGAGTCCTCGGAAAATGAAATTCCTTTTTGTCTGAACCAACTCTGTAAGTCTACTATTTCTGGTGGCCATAGTTTCCAGTATTATCAAATTTGGTTCGACTCGTGAAAGAAGGGATTCAAACCATCTTGGGCGTCCATGTCTTCGTGATAATTCCTCGTTTTCTGATAAAAAAAATTAATGCACTACCGTCTAAAAAGCCACTCTCACTACCTATATCAGCGCCAATCAGTCGTTGACCTTTACTCGTTGGTCCTCGTAACCCTTGATATACCATCCAAAAATGCTTAACGATAACTCATTACAGTAGTATCTTGGCTGATGTTAGATACTGTGTGGCCAACGTTCACCCACGTTTCGCCAAGACAATAAATCTTTTTGTAGGCAGATCGAACACCTCTAATAGAGCAAAAATATCTTCGTCGCCATGAGACTAAATCTTCTCTTTCTATTAAGGCAGATTTACGGGATCGTTTGGCATTTATAAATATTAAATCTTCTTTTATGATGATCCTTAACGTCTCTTTGTTCATTTTTGGAATGAGATCAGTCTCCATTACTTTTGTCCTAATGGATTTGATGGTTGGCGTTTTCTTTTCAAAAAGCAAAGAAATGCGTACAAAATTTTTCTAATAACCGTCCAATTTATTTTTTTTTTCTACCACAATAATGTACTTTTGGAGCTTGCACAATCCCAGTCACCTTTTTTTCACGTACAATATGTTCAATTTTCGACACGAATATTCCCGTTAACTGCAGCTTCCACTGTACGAAGTGTATTTTTTAAATTTTCATACACTCTACAGACAATCTGCTTTTCTTCTACCGACATAAACTTCCGTTTTCTTTGTACATTACTTGGATCCGCTACGGCATCTATCTTAATGCTATAAGAAGAATAAACATCCATCATATTATTCTGCTATTTGTTTGTTGTTTACTTACCTCAAAAACTATTTAAAAAATATAAAACAAAGTCACATTCACACACACACAAACAGAACACACCACGCCTATGCAGATATGGACGCTTGATGATGAATAAACCGTACGAATAAAATATTTCTCCGATTACTACTCTTTTCGAGGACATACATAGATCAGCGAAGTCTTAATAAGTTTACCGATGTTTCAAAGTATTCAACGAACTTGTTCAACTATTCGCTCGTGAATCGCACGGTTATGCAAAAGGTATTGTTACGGGGGTAAATTTTATGCAACCAATTTATTTACTTTTCACTTATCCACATCGGTCAAGCATTACAAGTTCAAATTTGAATTTGTAGATGAGTCACCTTCAATTGAAAATTGTTATAGTATAAACAAATCAGTCGATCTGTATTGATACCAATTACGTGAGTCTCAAAATTTCATATCTTGAGCATTATCATGCAGCCCAGATATTCAATTTTCTTCTTTATATTTCTTTCCTGTATTTCTTTATTTGTAATTTATGTTTTAGCTAGATCTAGTAAATAATTCACACTGCTATATTATTACTTAAGCCTTAGCCTATCAGTTAGCAAGACCAATCACCTACTACAAAGTTGGTCTTATACAATTGTCAGATGTACCAGAATATGCAAATTAGTGCCATCCAAAATTCAGTCTTCATTTATTTCCCAATTAAATTCATTGTATCCGATACACCAACCTATTGGCAGAGTTGGAACTAAATGTTTTGGTAGCCTTGTATAGAAAAACAAAACCATTGGTGGTGGGATATCTCCACTAGCGGATACGGTTGCTAATACGGTCATACCGACATTCTTTTTCGTTGTTAGCAATTCTATTATATACAGGTTATACCATATCAAGGTTGTCTTTTTCTTTTGTCCCTTAAGGATTTATTTTGAGCCCACAATCCACAGTTAATTATATGAAAGAAATTATATATATTAAAGAACGTTCGAACTTGAATCTTAACATTGTTTAACATTAATCATATTAGCCAATATTTTCCAATTTATGGTAAAATGGTGCGAAAAACATAAAACTTACTGGTGTGGCTCCTTGTTCATCGTAATACTCTAAACTTCCACCGGCAGCTGCTACTTTCTTTAAGTCTATTAACATTTGTTTTTCCGTTGCGGCCCTGGTATCGTCGATGAGTTCTTGAGTGACACCGCGTCTCGCCATTTCCGTTTCGATGTAATCTAGAGCTGCATCGTCCTCGCATATATCGTACGGCATATTACCGTCAGCATTCACAGCTAATAAGTTGGCTCCTCTTGCTATAAGAATCCTAAAACAGAAAAAAATTACTAAATACTTTAATTAGCTTTACAAATGGTCTTTTTCCTAAGTTCTACTTGAATTTTGTTAATATAGATTTCTGTTTTTATTGGCAATAACTTATAACATTCTTTGATTTTACATTTTTTACTATGAATAAATTGTTATTATAACTTTAACTCTATAACAAGTTATAAAAATGCTAATAGAAAAGTGTACAGAGTATAACAAGCCTATCTTTCTTATATTCGTAGATTATGAAAAGGCGTTCCATACTATAGATCATCATAAAATGCTTCGAGCATTGGCTGAGTGCCGCAGACAAATAAAGTCAAATATATTTGGTCTGCAGTTAAACATATCAAAAATCGACTATGTATAACAAGCAGCTTATGCTGTTTTTATGAGGTTTTTTATAAGATTCTGAAATAATACACGACTCACCTTACTAGTTTTAAATGTCCACAAGTAGCTGCGGCGTGTAAAGGTGTCCATCTTTCGCTATCCTCTGCGTTCACATTAGCGCCGTACTCCAATAATAACAGTAACATGGATTCATTATCATCGATGCAGCATTGGTGTAGAGCTGTGAGACCATCCTCGTTGCAAGAATCAGGACTCACACCTTTCATCAGCAACCTTCGAACTAAAAAGATCTCGTATTAATATTGTTTATTGTGGTAATTTTCACCACAAAATATATTGATGTGATAAAAATTTAGAAATTTGATTAATAATCGACAGTAGTAAAATTCTAAATATGGCAAAGAGTTTTACACGTGCGCAAGAATATTCACCTGTTTTAAGTTGTAACAAGATGTAAATATGATACGATAATGATATGGATCTAACATAAGATTTTATTAAGTATTTTATGGATACGGGAATTTATATGTTACGAAATTTTCAAGTAATCTAAGGCACCGTACACATGAGAGCGTTAGATGTTGCGTTTGCTAAAGCCGTGTTCTAAGGGCCTGTACACAGAAGAATGTTAGATGCCGCGTTGAGCGCATGTTAGAAAAAAGTGGCATCGTACACATGACAGCGCTAAGCGCCGCGGTTTACCAGAATGTCGACAGCCAGTGCAGTTATGGAGTTAAAGGAGTTAGCATGTATTTGGATGCTACAGCATAAATTCAGAGCAAGTTAAGACGACAAAGATGGTGGATGTACTCTTTAATTGAACTTTGATGGTACACAAGGCAAATATCGAACACAGTATTTAATCAAATCTTGCCCAAGTACTTTCGATCACAAGATCATCCTCAGGGGCATTTCGTCAGTTGTGGCCTATCCAGCAGTAATAGAATGTCATAAATGTAAATTGGGACATAACAAATACACTAAACAAAGACAAACAAACACTTTAAAATTTAAAAATTGGAGAAGCTACACTTTTATATAGAAGCCGGAGACAGAATATGCTGACGAAGAGTAAACTTGTGCAATTTTTAAATTAAAAACTATGGCTGAAAAATTTGCTAGATCTGTTCAAATTGTTACTTTGATTGGTAATGGCATGAGTCAAAGAGAAGTGGCCAGACAGCTTGGAGTCAGTCGTTGTATGGTCCAAAAAATTTACCAAGGATTCGTAGAGACTGGAAATCAGTTCTTTACGGCTAAATCAATCCAAACAATAATTCAGTAACAACAGATGACCGTTTGCAGAAGATCGTTCCCTTGTTTATCAGACCGAAGGATAAATTCAAGGTTGCCATCGTTCCAAAGGAAAACGGGTGAATTGACGAAATTTTAGTGCCTTTTCAAAGGCGACTAAAATTCAAGCAGCATATTGCCAATAAGAGGCACACATTTGGGATCAAATTATTCAAACTTTGTCTAGAAGGTGATTACACCTACGAGTTTAACGTATATTGTAGAAAAGAACATCCTGAAGGTAGCACTGTACCAACAAATGTAGTGATGAATCTTATGGATGGACTGCTTGACAAAGGACGAATACTTGCGATTGATAACTATTACAGTTCTGTCACATTTGTACATGAACTCCTACACAGAAAAACTTATATGATTGGTACGCTACGTGCAAATCGCAAAATATAATCCCAAAATCGTCATTTCCAGAAAATTAAAAGTAGGCGAACATGTAGCTGAACAAAGTAATTCGATCATCGTTGTTCAGAAGTCGAGGGACAAGCGAAATGTGCAAATGATTCGTACCAAATTCGCTGACGAAATGGTGACGATGCAGAAGGCTCGCGGTGATGTTGTAAAGCCAAAGAATGTCATCGAATATAATACATATAAAAGCTTCATTGATATTCAGATCAAATGAAAAGCTATAATTCGCCATTACGTAAAGGAATAAAATATACAGAAAATTATCGATTGAGCTCTTGATTTATAAATGCCTATGTGGCGTATCAAAACATTTCCAATGAAAGCATGATGATTAACAAATTCGAGGAAGAGGTAATTCGGGACCTATAGATTCCTTGACAAAAAATTAAATCAGTACTTTAGGTTCAATTTTAATATAATGTTATTGTTACTTATAAATATTATGAGCCATGCGTCCTCGTTGACATCTCAGAAGCACAGACCAAGTATGCTTTCTAGACCATCTAGCCCGGGCTCGAAATGTTGCAGTATATTTTAAATAAGTTCGAGAAGCCGCTGTTGAGTTACACAGCATTTTCTGACGATCTAGCGCGTGCATCAACGTATATAACTTTTATGCGTATATAACTTTTATGTGTGGGTCAGTGTTGGCCTCTCATGGCACTTAACTTGTGTAATAACTTTAACTTGCTGCAAATTACAATAAAAACATGCCAGGGATTTCTAAATTCATGCTAAAACAAATTTTTCAATATTTAAAAGTATAAATCTCTGCATCTCATAGTCACATTCTTCTAATTGATTTGGGTTAACTTGTCCTTATTTTAAAATCAAAAGGCAGTTCAATTATTTACACATATTAATGAAGCACTCTGTATGAATGTACCACTTTTAAGCCAGTCAAGCAAATTACGCAAACATAAATCCAACCACAATCTAATCGAAAACTGTCTCTAGATCTACGAATATCTTTTACTAAATACATTTCTTACATCATGTTTTATGTCTCTATATATTTTCGAGTTATTTATCGATTCTTTCTGTGACATAATTTATTAGTGAGAGCACAAAATAAATATTAAAATACCATCGCCGACTTTTTAGTATTCAACGTCACATTTATCGGACACTTTTTACCCAAATAATTGCATTCTTTATAGAATTAGTCGAGACTGTTCAAGTGAAAGAAGCTATTAAACAAACTAAATTGTTTTCCCATATAAATTAAAATGACTTTCACTGTATTACTGTAATTTATTTGCTTACGAAAGAACTACTTAAATAAATACTTCTACGCCACAAATAACTGAATCAAATTTCGATATTGAGGCTATTATAATCCGCCAAATTGGATTCTCAAGTTAAAAAACTTTTGCGAGATCACAATAATTGGGGTAGGTTCTATTTTTAAGTTATAATTTGAACCCAGCCTAATTAATACTTTTAAATAGGAATGTTCCGAGACAACTGGTTGGACAATACCTTGATGAAACACTATTAAGAAAAAATACTTAAAAAATAATGAAAAATGCGAATATGCAAATCTGTAATCCGGCCTGTCATGACTAATATCGAAGATCATCATCATCATCTTCATCCAGCTTCTCGCGTCCACTGTTGGACATAAACCACCTCTATAATCCTTCAGTAAACTACATTTTGGGGAAGTTGCATCCACTCATCCAGTTATGCTCTATTTGCCGTATTTCGTCTGTCAGTAATGTCGCACAGTGGGACGAAAACGCTAAAAAACGCTTAAAAGTGATTAAATCCTCAAGAGATTTATACAGAGAAGTATATCCTCTATAAAAACCAGTTTAACTGGCCAGGCTGATAGCACTCTGTACGAATCCCTTATCTAGGGTTACAGAAGAAGATCACAACTACCGCATTAAAGATTTGTATGATATCCCTAGAACAGTCATCATGGCAGTGACAAGTACGTAAACAGCACTGATCACGGTAATTGTAATCCGAGATCCGACAGAAGTGACGCAAGGATCACATGGTCTACCAGCTCTTTAGCAAGCGAAACCTCTGTGATATACTGAAGAATACACCTATATCTTTCTCTTCAAGTACCATATCCTTTCAGAACGTTAGTTACCATCACAACTTGTCCTGGTGTATGGAGTTGAAGCCTGGACTATTTCAGATGTAACTGAAAATAAACAACGCACGTCCAGATTGAAAAATTTAAAGCAGGGTGATCAAAATAAATGAAAAAAAGATAGAGGTAGACCCTAAAAAAGATGGGTAGATGATACAGTCCTTACATTTGAAAAAAATATATAAATAGTTTGATTTTGAATGGGTTTTGTGTTTTCAATGTCACCTCAATAAACAAACCATAACCGGTTTTAAAAATAAGATACATTAAAAAACAATCACCTTCATCAATGTCATTTCTAGCTGCAGCTTCTAGTAGTACGACGCTGTCATTAAAGCAGATTCCCCTTTTGTTCGATTTTTGATATTTGGCGCTCCTTTTTCCAAATTCCTTCTCCTTCTGCAACCATAACCTCAACTGAAAGGTTCTTCTTTTCCTTGCCAATGTCAGTCTCTCTTGTGTGGGCATCTGTTCCACTATAGGCATTTCCTCGATCAGCTGTTGGTGCTCCATTGTGGCGTTGTTATTTCTGCTGGGGTTTATCAGTCTTAACTGAAATAAGAAAACAATATTATAGTCGTATGTATTTAAAACAATTAACCAAAATATTTTTCGTTTGTGACACTAACAAAATTTATGGTCTAATTGTAATATGTAGCTGTATATTATTGTATTATAATTATTATACAGAATGGGTCGCTGAAAACAATGCACTCTTATATTTGACAATACTCATTAAATTTTGTGAAAATGGTCGTTTTTTATTTTAAAACCCAATACTTTAACAAATATCCCTCTGTAATTTTGTAAATTATTATACCTTCTTTCCAGTTCCAAACCTGTTAATTTTGAATAGCGAATATGATCATGTATGGCTTTATTATTAGAAAAGCAACAACATCAGTCAAGAAATACAAGCACGGATTCTTATACTATAAATAGACACGTATTGTTGTTTCATTGACTTAGAAAAAAGCGTTTGATCTTGTTAAGCACTCTATACTGACCGAAGTTTTAAGAGATATTGGCTTGGATGGCAGATACGTTCGCATAATTGCAAATTTGTATTGAAATCAAACATCAGTTTTAGTAGACGGTTTGGAATCACGTGATCTTAATAGTAAAAGAGTAGTACAGCAGAGGTGCCCCTTGTCGCCCCTGCTTTCAACGTTTACTCCGAAAGAATTTTTAGAAATGCACTAGATACCAACTATTAGAATATATCATAAATAAATGAATTAAATAATACTTTATTTTAAAATAAAAATTCTTATCTATAATTTTTTTGCAAATAACAAATATCTAATTTATATCAAATCTCCTAATCTTAAAAAATCTGAAGCATGTGAGATTAAAAAAAGCTAGGGATATTAAAACAGAATTAAAAGGAGTTATTGTCCAAATAAAAAAATTATAAGTGCTTTTTCAATGTTGAACCACCTATTGTGATCTAATGGATTTAAAAGGAGTAGATTTGGATTAAGTTGCCTTCCATGATTGGTTAAAACACCATCAGTTTTACGAAAAGGTTAAAATTCGATTCGAATGGCGGAAATGTTCTAAGAAATCGTTTATAGCGCAGACAATACTTCAAGTTTAGTATAATATGTTACAATGATAGCAGTGGCGTTCTAAAAAAATACGTACTTTTAACTCAAATCATTAGGAATAGGTAGGCACAACAGTATCTTTACATTATTATATTAACATAGTTTTTTATATTTAAAACTGTAATTATAATATTATAATTTTCTTATTATTAAATACTGTAACTATTACAAACATTTTATATATTTTAATCATTATCACAGATGCACTATTGTTATCACTAGAAATATTAAAAAAAATATATTTTTCTGTGACTATCTCAGGGACTATATCTTTGCCATTATCCAACCTGTTTTTTTTATTAAATTCCAATAAGTGCTGTGGCCCCAACGAAAGCGAACAGTGTCCTCATTGGTACTTCTAATTTTTCTAGTTTTCGCCTCAAATGACCAAAATTCCCGCCTCATATCACCCAGCACATTAAAACTGTATAGAAGCAGTCTCTTCTTCCATTTCGAATTTTCTACACCAGATTCATTCACCTTCCCTATTTTGTATAGGTGTTTTACACGACAATGTCCAGTCACCATTTCCGTGACCGTTTTAATCCCTCGTTTATTGAGGTTCATCAAATGGTCACTGTGCCGAGCTTTCGACAATCTCACTGATGTCTTCTTCAGGGCTTCCGAGTTCTCAGTCTCCCGAGCCCCCAGACACTACTACACTGATCACTAATTAATGCATTATTAATATGCACAATTAATAATGCAGGAATTATTTCGAATAGAATAAACGTGGTTTTTGAGATTTTATAATCACTTGTACTTGTATCTACCTTCTCGATGAAAAGAAGATATCATCAGAACATTTTTATATTTTTTTCAGGCACATGGGATGCTAAAGTCCAGTCAGTTCTATAACCAAAAATAGGAGAAGGAATAGGTCGTTTTTTGAAATCTTTAAAAACCTGTAGTATACCTTTTAGACATGCATTGAGAGTTGCATCAAGTCTGTGTTGAGTAAGAGCTTCTTCAGTAAGAGCAAAACTGTTGAACACTTGGTCCATAGTTATATTTCGTCCGGAATTCAATATGACTTCAAACATTCTAAGAGAAACTGTTCTAGTAGAATTGTCTGTCTGAAGTGTTGGAGCCGCATCAGATTGATCCTGATAACGCCTGCTTTTTTCTGAATGTATAAATTTGTATTTATTTCTACAATACTCAGGCTATCGTCAAACAATAGATTCCACGTATCAGCAGGTGTTTTTAGATGTTTTGCTTCTCTAAAAGGTCCAAGTAGATGACTAACAATATTTTCGCTTCTTGTTCAACATTACGAGCAAAACGAAATTTTCTCCATTTACGCCCATCTTTTGCATGGTAATACAGACGTCTATCCTCTGTAGTGTCAGTAGCTGCTTTTTCTGAGTCACTGTCTTCATTCTCTTCACTTGAAACCTGAGTGTCTGTTTCATGTTCACTAAATTCTTCATGATCTTAATCTAATAGTAAATGTCTGAATCTTCAGCTTCTTCCTCGTCAGTTGAAACAGTCTCGTGAAGCTGTCGTAAATGTTCGATTTCCCTTTCATACGGACCCATTTCATTTTACTATAATAAAATGTTTCGATTATAAAATATTCGTAGCTGTGCAATAACATACCTACTTTGTTATGGCAAATTAACACTGCACATCCACAGAAAACAATGTATCTCTTTTTATGAAAAATAAACACCGCACTTCTACACGAACGTATTTCAGAGTGTGAACTAATAAAAACCACTTCACTCCACCTCGCCCCAGCTGTACAAGTACATTTGTGTGATGGTCTGACAACTGTAGTATAATCTGTAGTATAGATTGTCCTAGTATATGCTAATTTATAATTGACACAGTTGCACGGGTTAATCCTGTGAGTACAAACACTGATACAACCACAGAATACACCTCCCAGCAAGAAGCAAAATAAAGGAGTTATTCGCAATCCAAAATTCTGTAAAAATCCGCCATGTTCTAAATAGTTTATCTGTCAACCTATAAAAACTCTGAAGTTTGTTTACGTATTGAGAAGTGTTGTTTCGAGTGTGTTGTTTAATAGTAAAAAATAATAATACATATTTTAATACCTTAAAAAAATCGATAAAAAGTAATAGAAATCGACTGATTTTCATCTCTACTTTGAAATTAACTCCCAAATTCAATTGCTTTTTATCGGTTTTTTAACGTAAGTAAGATATCTACTTAGATAATACTTTTAGAACGTTAATTTGTTTAAAAAAATCGATATTTTTGACTCAAGACCTTTTTACTTATCAGTACAGAATTGATATACGGGTTACATTATATTTTACAAAGCTTCCGCTTCTTGTTGGGTGGTTTATTCCGTGATATAACTCAAAAAATGGTGCTCCGTTTTTATTACAATTTTAGCGGTAAACTCTTTTTTAAAAGGCGAGAAGGTATACAGATTAAAAATGTTTCAACGCTTTTATCAAATAAATTATTTATAATTTTTAAATCAGTATGTACTGATAGGTTTAACCCGACCGATGGAGTGTTAGTCATTAATATGAAGTAAAAGTGTTCCACTACAGAAATCAAAACGTCAAATAAACGTATTTTTAACTGAAAATGTGGTTAAATTCCATTAAATATAATAAATAATTGTCAATATAATCAAATTTATCTTAAATTTTATTTGGGTATAAAAGTTTCAATATATTAAATACTGATATACCACGTAAGTTGATGAGTATAAATATGTGTCCATAAATATCAAATTTACGTAAGAGTCAATTAATAAATCTACCTACAAAAGTCATGACCATAAATAGTTGACATTGAAACGATTTTAAGAACTGTGTGAATAGCTTATTTATAAGTATTTGATCAACTTTAGTAACAAGTTATATAAGAAGATAAATCTCGTGTTAAGATCCAAACCAAATTTAGAAATAAATCTTGTCGCTAAGAAAAAATGTAGTAAAACTAGATTAGACAACTTTTTAATAAATACAAAACGAAGAAACTGGAAATTTCCAAGTGCCATATTTTTATAATATCTGCTTATTATTGTACAGCTTTATCTAATCGATGTATAGAAAATGTTCAAAGATAATTTAGGGTTAATTTGTATGCTTAAGAAGGTACATGACAAATAAACGATATAAAAAATATACAATTTTACAGATTCACATTTAATTTTAATTGAATGACTTAACACTCCGATACACGACGGTGGTCTATCACAACGGAATTTATGCGCAAAAGGCTATTTGTTACATAAACAAATAATATACATATCTGTTTTTTCAGTACCTTTTAGGCACCCAAAAAAAAGTATTTATCTAAATATTTTACAAAATAAATGCTTTTAGTTTTGAAATATAGATCATTTTGTCCTAATAGAAAATCGTCGTGTGGTCATGTAACTTTTAAATATGTACTTCCATCTATCGGCTGTAGACTCGAAGTCACGTTCGAACGTGAGTAAATAGGAATAAAAACAGTAGAGGGCAGTGTTTGTTGTGGTAATTCCCAGAGTACTCATATAAGGTTAGTTTAGGCTAATAAACGTGGATATATTATCTTATAATATGTAATCGGTCATAGCGTTTTTGTATTTAACAAGTTATTAAATTATTGGACTTTGGCATAATTTTCTGTATTTTACAAGTCATTCAATTATTGCACTCAGGTAGGTAGATGTAATATTATAACAAGTTCAGGATACTTATAAATTTTTTTAATAATATAAATGTCTATGAAAGGGAAATACGGCGCGCGGCGTCTGCAAGCTCTAGATGATGAAGTTCAGATTGACGAAGAGATTTGTGGTTCTCATAAGTCTATGTCTAATGAGGACATAGAGATATTCAGTAACCACGGAACTAATTTTCAGCAAGAGATGACAGAGGCTGCACAACAGAACGTAGAAGACAGAAATGCTACAGAAGCTGACAGGCGATTATATGACTATGGTAAAGATGGAATTAAATAGCT